GCATGTGCCTGCACTTCTGGAATGAAAAGGGAATGTCTATTCACCTCCAAATTGGTTCAAGCTCTGCAGGTTAGACTAACCTGCAAAGATTGAATCAATCCAAGCTGAGGCTTTTTGAATGCCTGTCTCTAGCCATAGGATTTAAATCAGTCCACACAGGAAAGACTATGGAAAATCTGACTTGTAGCACCTAGAAGGTTTTCAATTAATAAGCCCACATGCTGAGAATTGCTGCAGTCAACAAACAATCCACAAAATGAAATGGTCATTATAAACAAAAGATTCTATTTTAAAATGAGATTTAGCATTTCCTGGGAAAAGGAAAGTTACAATACTAGCTACTGGTAAGGATTTCTTAGGGTGATATATTTTATTGGACCAACTGTGTAGTAGCAGACAAGCTTTCAAAATTGGAGTGGAGTGACCATATCTTAAGTGGAGATGTGGTCAACATGCCTTAGGCAGTAAAAACAGAATTGTATCTTGCTCTCTTTTTAGCAAGTTTTAGGGCCCTTGAAGGCTACTTAACAATAACTAGGCCTCTTCTTGTCCACAAAACAAAATAAATATAAAGATGAAGTGGAAACTCAACTCTTGATCTTATGGGTAGTTCAGTCTCCAGTCTTGATCTCTCTTCCATATTAAAACCACTACTAGGAATGCAATCACTGATGTTATTTTATGCTGTGAACACCTGGTTATAGTGACCTGGAAGGAGACTCTCAACCATTCCATACTGGCCTTCAAGGCGGCCAAATCAGTGACTGTACAAAAAAAGCTTTATATCCCAGGTACAGACAATATCTGTTCCTCTTTCCATCTACAGCCTGTGGATTTTCTGGCATAGCTTTAAGAGCAATACATCTGTCAAAATGTAGCCAAAAATTAGGAACATACTTTATATAAATATCTAACTGCTATGCTGTATTAAAAATGCAGAACATCCTTTCTAATGATGGAGTAAAATTTATCAATTACACTACTTTTTCAGAGATTTTTCAAGACAACCTACTAAATATAATATTAGTGGAAATCCATCTCTGAATATTAAGTTGACTTTTTCTCATTTTCACTTTCCATGTAAAAAGACAGTAAGGAGGTCAAATTAAAATGCCAAGCATCTATTCTACATGTACCCCTATCAACAATTTTTTTTTTACTGAAAGACATGCAGGCAGCAGAGAACATGGTATGGATTCACAAAGTGTTTGTAGATAATTATCCCAATTGCAAATGAGAGTATTCATTATAAAGTCCTCACTTAATAGTATCCATTAAAAGAGAAATGAAAGTATAAAGTAATCATTTTCCAAAATGAATTTGGATTTTTAAAGGTTGGAAGTATAACACTCTCTTTAAAAATTGCTCATTTTCATAAATTATTTTAAGAAGGAAAAAGGCAAATCTAAAGATAATGAAGCTGATATGCCAACAGCTTTTTTAATCGGTTTTGACAACTGTCTTTCTGACCACTGCCCATTGTAATTCTCCACTGCATTGTGCTGCACCATAGTTACACGCACTTTACACAGCAACAAGTATCTACAGATGATGCAAGGTGACAATGACTGACCCCTATACTTCATCTCTTCTCCAATTAAAAAACATTATGACAGGATGTCACCTGGGCCACAAAAGTATGCTGATTGGGCCACATGCAGCCCACAGGCTGAGAACCACCATGTTAGACAAAAAGGCAGCTATTTAGTATTATACGTTGATGGGTTGGAATTTTCAAAGCCAACTCCTACTCAGCCTTGCTCATTTGAGTTGATCACTGGGAATATCTTATCTCAGCAAGGCAGGCAGGATTTAATTTGATTACTATCTTTACTTGGGCTCCATCTAAATCTGTAGCAGATGTAAAGGGCTCCTTAATTAGGCATCCTTTTGAATCATCCGTGATTCAACCATGATAGTACATGATCCTGTGTGGATCACTGTGCCCTTGTTTTTGTAACAGGGAGCCAGGGGCTCCTGTTACTTGAAGAGAGAAGCTGCAGCAGGCATGACCTGATGTGGGTGGAAGACAGAGGATCCTGGACTAGCTGCAGGCGAGTAGGCAGCTAGAGACCCAGGGCTGCAAATTCCTATTGCAGGGCTAGCTGCCTAATAGTAGGACAATAGGGCAGTGCTCTCGGTAGGATGCAAGGGTGCTACTATAGTTTGACCAGAAAAATAGCAGTAAGCTGCTCTGGAGGCTAAGGGGACACACCTGCTGCCGGTCAAGATGGCACCTAGTCAGAAGGGGAGGAGCCCAGGAGACATAAGCCAGGGCCCCTGAGGCAGAGGAGCAGTGCAACCCTGAACTCTTCAGGGACAGGAGCTCCTGCCAGCTCAGGCTGGTGGGGAGTTGGAGCTGTGGGCCATGACAGGTACTCCCAGGCCTGAGAGAGCCAGAGAGTGAAGAGGTATCTTGGCAGTGGTACGATGACTCAGAGGGGAAATCTGGAAGTTTTTCTTGAAAGCAGTGGCTTGCATTTTTATTTCAGTTTTATACTGGAGAACTGGAGATGGCTGTAGGGTGGAAAGGAAGCCACAGGAGTGCCTGAGGGGCATGCCAGATTTTGAGACCTGTCAGGGGCAAAGCCAGCTGGAGGACATCAGACTGGTCCATTTTTCCACCCTCCATCACCGCCATCTCTACATGTTTGTGAGCCGCACAATCCATCACGCCACCCTCACGTCCCATCTAGACACCAAGTGGCAGGACCTACTCGGTGAGGGCATGGCTGGGGCACCTCAGTGGCTGAGCCTATACTCCATCCTCATCCCACAAGCCCATGGGGACCTCAGCTGGTGGGTCCTCCATGGAGCGGTCACTATGGTATGTTTGCAGGCAGAGGGAGACCCTGGCACACATGACCTTTGAGTGCGCCAGAGCTGGAGGTGGAGGGGCTGCAGCCTACAACCTCCTTCTGAAGTTCTGGTTGAATTTCACCCCCCAATTCTTTGTTTTTGGTCACCCTGGGACCTCCTGGTCAACCTGCTCTTGACCCTGGCCAAGTGGGCCCTGTACTTGACCAGGAAGGAGGCTCTGGCTGGGAAGGTGCCCAGAGACTGCAGGGCCATTTTCCTCTCACTTGTCCAAGCACGTATCCAGGCAGAGCACCAGTGGGCAGCATCAACTGGCTCCTTGGATGCCTTTGAGGACCAGTGGGTGCAGCCCAGGGGGCTCTGCTTGGTGTCCCCCTTAGGCGCACTTATTTTCATGTTTTGACCCTTTGACCCACATGGCACTCCTATCCTGTTTTTTTTCATTAGTTGTCCTAAGAATTTAGCTGTTCCATTCATCCATTAGCCCCTGTAAAACAGGGCTATTAGTTAGCCAGGTGGGCCTTGCCCATGGTAACTGGATGGACAAGTAGACAGGGCAGAGGCATGAGACAGAAGCAGGCTGGGGCCAAGACAGCTGGAGCCTGAGCTCAGAGGGGGCAACTGAGATGGCCTGAGACCTACAAGAGACCGAGACTGAAAGGCCAGGGGAGAGCCCGTGGGCCTATATACCAGTCCCCAGCCAAAGTAACTTGTAGGCTTAAGACTTAGAAAGTCAAAACCTATACAGAGTGATATCTGAAGCACTGGCATGGTTGTAGGGGCAGGAAGCCATGAATAGTGCTTAAGGTAATGGGTGCCACCTAGGGCTTGAAGGACAAGACTAGGGATCAGCTGGGTATGGGAGGGATCTGCTGGCCAAACCAGGCTAGGGCTCACTCTGGGACCTGGGTACAGCCTTCCTTCTACAATAAAAATAACCCATCAAGACATGACAGAAGAGAGGAAAAGGGAGAGTATCCTAAGGAGCTGGAGTGGGGCAGAAGCCACATGGACCCCAGGGGTCTGGTCCTGCTACAGTTCCCACAAGCCATTCTGAAGTGGGCCACAAGATGGCTTATGGACCCTCTGATCTTGAAAGATTTTCCCATTGTCTGTTCATTATTAAGTCAGTCCAACTGCCAAGGTATGTATAAATTCTTCTTGCTGAATTTAAATGAAAGAGGCTGCAGAATTTGGTGCACAAGGGAGGTCAACAGGTCTTGGTATTACTGCTACTGCAAAGTCAGGGAAGTCTCCACTTCTCCAGAGTAGTGCTCCCCCTTTTCAGTTCTTGCTTTGTTAGCCTTAATAATAGCACACATGCAAGTTCACTGAAGTCCTTAGCATCATAGCAAAGAAATCCATAATATTTTATAGATCTTGCTTTCAACTACTTTTAATTCCTGAACTGTAATCAAGTCATGCAAAATGCTAATTATTAGAAATACCTGAAACTAGAGAAGTATTTTTGGGAAGTGTTTCCAATAAACTGTCTTCCCTGGACAGGATATCATTCACTTCATTGTTTTGCTTTTGCTCCTTTGCCGTTTCAGAAGACATTGAATTTTGAACTTCCATTTCCTCATTTGCAGTTGTTGGTTGCTTTGGCTCATCTTCTTTATGCTCTGTTTATAAAGCAGGAACAAGCATATTGCATTACAAAACTCACAATTTTCTTTATAAACACTGCCTATAAACAACGTCAACTAAAATAGCAAGTCTAATCTGCATGCAATTTACACATCCAACTCAGCACAGAGAGGTGAATATCTTTTTTCATGGTTAAGTGTTGATTCAAGATTCCTAATTTGGGATTTAGGTAACCTTTTCATTTTAGTATGATGGAAACTGTGCCCAATATGTCCATAACATTTAATACCACTGTTTCTTTTAGACTTGTCCTTTGCGGTATTTGTATTTTCAATATGATTACACTGCATGTAGATATACTGGTGTTTTCACCAGAACCGGCAAATCATTTTGACAAATACTAGTGTCCTGAAATGTTTGCACAGATAAAAACAAATACCCATAGTGTAGTGTCCCAACTCTTCAAATAAGGAGACTGTATCTGCTATGGCAGGAAAAAAACGAGAGAAGTGATAAAAAAACCAAAAGTTTTGTTACCAAATCAGTAACTTCTGAAATACCTTAAATCTTCTAAAATATTGCTTGGTCTGTTATAAAACATGGGATATATTTTTAGGAGCTGCTGCTTTCTTTTTTTTTTTTTTGTTGCAGAATCCCTTGGTCAGCAAATAAGAAAGGACAAACCCAGAACATTACAATTTATTCCACAGAAGTATAAAGTTAATAGTAGCTAAAACACTGAAGCTTTTTCAAGTTTTCTCAGTTTATATCAGGGTGTCAAAAATACAGCCCATGGGCCAGATACCATCCAGCCCCCACTGCAGCCTGTGGGTTGCAGTGACATGCAGGCAGCATGCAGGGTAGAGTGGGCACCACGTGTATCACAAACTTGGAGCAGCAGCTCTGGGACTGCATGCCACAGCCCTGCAGCAGCCAGACCACAGCCAGCCCCATCATGGGGCTAGATGAGTTTGATACCCCTGATTTATATGAACAGCTAAATCTAATCTATCTAATTGTTTGCTTATTGTATTCAACTTCTTCTGAGACCTCTGATGGTTCACAAAGATGATATGTTGAATTCTGTCCTTAAGAGATGCATTCATTGTTATCTGCTGGTATTAAGAGGCAGACATTTGTATGAGAAACTTGAAAATACTGTTTTGTATTTATCAAAAATAATCTTCAGAATCACTCTATAGGCAAAATTAAGTGGATTTTTAAAATACTGAATTGTGAAAAAAACTTAAAGGTGGGCTGCAAAGTTGGAAATTGTATTCTGATTTTGAAGTAATCCTTTTCCTGATGTTTAAAAATGTACTAAGATATTAGGTGCCTGACCCTGTAACTCTTGGGTGAGATCCACTGAAGTCCATTCAGCATAGGCGATGTGTAGAAGGAGCACGTAGCCCCCTGAAATTGACCGCTGCTGGCCAGGGAGTGGAGGGCAATGGCCGGTGCCCCCCTCCCAAGAATGTGGGGGTACTAAGGACCGCCCCCCCAGTTGGCAATCGGTCGCTGGTGCCTCCCCAGAATCAGGAGGCACCAGTCACCCATGCCATTCGGTGAAGAGTTCTATGCCTCAGTGCAGAACCTAAAAGCAGAGATGATAAGAAGTCATCATTTAAACTAGAAAAACAACATGATTACCTCCTGTATTTCCACTTAAATAATCTGCAAGGTCTGCATGGTCAGTTTCACGCAGGACAGACAAAAATTCAGAGAACCAATTTTTCTTCTGCACTATTGTACTCAGGAGCTCCCTTGCACCTTCTCTATTCCCACGAGTTTCAGTAACAGCCCGGATCTGATGAAAAAAAAAGTAAATGAACTGTAAAATGTATAGAATGAAAATCCTAAATGCAATATTAAAACTTTAAAACCATATTATTTATTCTAAAGGCCAAGCAGTAAAGGAAAAATATGTGCAGAACACTGGCTTTTTCTGGGCCCCCATTAGTGTACACAGCAGAAGGGATAAAAATATATAAGTAGCCGAGCCAGTAGTTTATAAATCAAGAAAGGCATACTGCATTTTGTTCATCATCCCAATGCAGCATTGTTCCTTATGAAACAAAACATTATATTGAAGACATTTTCCTCATCATTTACTGTTGTATAACATTTGTATGTCTCTGGTGCCTGGCACATGTCCATTTAATGGTGCAATGTGATCTATTTCCCAATCCCAGGAATCTCACCACCTGCCATGCCACATATGGATGGCAGGACACGTGATTCTGGGACTAGAAATCAGGCCCCAACTGCACCACTATTATTTGACAGTGCAGGGGGAACCCAGGATCTCCCTCCACTGGCAAGTTGGAAGTTAGGTATTCAGTGAAACTATTGGACAATTACACACATGCAGGGAGCCTGCTCCAACACACTGGAAATCCACCATGTCAGAGCAGACTCAGTTAATCGAGTCTGCTGGAGCATGTACATCGACGCACTCTGGCAGCCTCGGGCATCACATGTATCGGTGGTGCAGAATTTCTCTGTGCTGAGAAAATGGCACTGGTGCACTTTGAAATAAAACACGTTTGGTGTGCTTTAGTTCAAAGCACCCCACCACCATTTTCTCAGCATGGAGACATGCTGTGCCACTGATACACATGACGCACAGGCACTTTTAATTAGCTCAGCCTGGCAGCACGTCAGCAGCATGTGTAAAAATGCCTGTTAGGTCCTGGGCTGGAAGCCACAGCCAGTTGATTACTGTTGTTAGTCCCAGGACTGCACTGGAGCCAGACTGAGACTCTCTCAACCTGGGACCATCAGTTGATTGTGGGTCCCAACTCCTGGATCACACTGGAGCCAGCTAGAGACTTGGGTACAGTCCTGCGACTGGGGGAACTGTCAACCAAGCGCCACCATGCAGCTGGGACTGGGCTCCATGGCAGGAAACCGTCACATGTTCAACTTTTTTTTTTACTTTTTATAAATGCTGATTAGGGGTAAATGGGATAACAATACAACAAAACAGCAAAGGACAGCTCACACAGAGGGCCAGGTGCAGAAGAAAGAGCCTGGAGATAGGCCTCAAGGTCTGCCCGCACAGTCTAAAGGTCCACCTGCACATGTTCAATTTAAGGTGCGATGGAAATCAACCACAAAATTATTACACATATTACATGACATTACTTGCCTGAACATGTGGCTGAGTTACTATTTAAGATACGATTAACTGGTTACCATATTTAATCAAATAGAAGGTGACCCTGATTATAAAATGACCCTTCAATAATTGGATTCTATATATGGAATTATAGAATCTACATACATTGTATAGATTCTATATATATCGTTATATAATTCTCCAGGTATAGAATCTAATTATCAGAGGTTTGACTTGAATT